GAACTGAGTATATTGTTTTTGATATGGTGACATTTCTTATCAGATCATCATTGTTAGTGAAGATGAGGTCTAGTGTATTCTCCATTCTAGTAGGCTCTATTATTTGCTGGTTTAAATTGAATTTTGTGCAGAGATTTAAAAGCTCATGTGAGTTTTCATCAGAGCTGCCTCCTGGTGTTATTACTGCAACAATATTATTTGCTATATTCCTCCATTTTAGGTGCCTTAAGTTGAAATCCCCCAGGAGCAAGATGTTGGGTGCAGGAGCTGGAAGATTTTCCAGATAGTGGTCAATTTTTAACAGCTGTTCCTGGAATTGCTGGGATGTTGCATCCGGAGGCTTGTAGACTACCACAATGACTAGGTTTTGGTTCTCGACCTTTACTGCTAAAACTTCCACTACATCATTTGAGGCATTGAGCAGTTCTATGCAAACAAGTGACTCTGCAATGTACAGGCCAAACCCCCCCTTTTGCCTGTTCACTCTGTCACATCTGTATAGGTTGTAACCTGGGATCCATATTTCGTTGTCTAAGTGATCCTTTATGTGGGTCTCAGTGAAAGCCGCGAACATTGCCTTTGCCTCTGCAAGCAGTCCACGGATGAAAGGTATTTTGTTGCTTGTTGCTGGCTTTAGACCCTGTTTTTTGAAAAGAAGAATGTCATCGGGACTGGTGGTATTGTTGGTACTGGGGGGGGATTTTTTTTTCCGGCATTAGTATCTGTATCTTTTTTGTTTGGAGTGGAGGCCATCGACTGTGGTTCCACTCCAGAAATGACTGGATTTGGTGTACAATTTCTGCCATTTCCTGCCAGTTTTTTTTCCTTCCTGCCACTAAAAAACCTCTCCCTCTTGAGTGGCTGTGTCTACCCCGGTTTTCCCATGGCCTGGATGTTTTGTATCTTTTTGTCTCCTTTAGATGGTGTGCCTGGAAAATTTAAGTTTATAGCAAGTCTTTCCTGTACTGAAGAGGTACACATTTCAGGGTGAAAAAGCTTACAGGAAGGGAGTTTGCATTTTCCTGTTGTCATATGGGCACGGCATTTTCTAGGGTGGTCATAGTTGCAAGTCCCATCTGTTTTTCCAGATTTCCCATGTCTGCAGATACCAAGTGCATAGTATGTGCACAGGCTTGGTTTCCATTTGCTTGGGTTTCTGTGACTGTTTCCCTGTTGGTGCATGTTTACCTGTCTTATTCCTATCTTCCTAGCACCAAAATGGGGCTCCCACCAGTTGTTTTTTGGTATATATCCTCACTTATTGCTAGTGGAGTCCCCTTGTTTGCTTTTTTCTGTTGTATTTCTTGTTTGCAATATTGGTTTTATCTTATCTTTGACTACACTTGTTTCCCCGCTACGGCTCCTGTCCCCTATGAGGTCATTTATAGGCATTCCTTCCTGCGTATAATTCCCGACTACCTGGACAAAATCTCCAGCTTCACCATTACTGTCTCCCAGGACAGCACCTCCAGCTTCACCATTACTGTCTCCCAGGACAGCATCTCCAGCTTCACCATTACTGTCTCCCAGGACAGCACTATCAGCCCCACATTTACTGACTACCAGGACATCACCTCCAGCCTTACAGTTTCTGACTACATTCAGTACCATTCAGCCCAGACTTTTTATGTTCCCATCTGTTGTCTATGAAAGCAGCTTTGATGTTATCCTCTTTTAATACCCTTGTGATTTTAGTCCACAGATTTATCTCCTTTGGGCATACCCAAAAAAACACTTCCTGTTTTAATACTGCTTGTAGCTAGTTCTTGGATATCTGCACAAGGAGCGTGACACCAAATTCCACAAAAATGACAATTTATCCATGTGGAAGCCTGTTTGTTTGATTTATTGCAGACTACACACAGCTTCATAATGATTTGAATGGTTGATTTACTGTAATTCTACTAGCAACCTCTTGAATACTCTATTAATAACCTCTTTAAGTAAAGCTCTAGCTATCTGTATTTCTTTTTCTAACTGTATTTTTTATCGGGACAGTTACCGGAGTACGCTCGGGGAGTTTTTTTTTTAAATTTATTTTTTGTTTTTTAAGGGGCCCCTAAAACCCCCCATCGTTTCGTTGCTTTATTGTCCAACGAACCCTTTTGAAACCGGCCAAGGGTTCGCCAGTGAGGGTTCGGTCCAGTCGGGGTTGGAGCCAGTTGTTTGATCAGTGGGTCACTTATTTAAAAATACTGGTCGGTGTTTTTGGGCTAACACATGAGGATCTACTGGAAATTTCCCGGTAATTGTTTTTGATTGATATTTATTTTTTATTTATTTATTTATTACAATTTAAAACACTTGGTTGAAAAAACCGGTTTGACTGTGGCAACCCCTACAGTGACGAAGGTCGAGCCTACCCTTGTTTATCAATGCTGTATCTGCTTTTTTGTTTTTTTTTTTGGCCTCCCCACATAATGTATATTTCATATGTTGACTGGTGGAATTTTGGAGGGGGGACGCTTTTTTGTAGTAATAATTGCTTCTGTTTTTATATTGAAAACCCGCGGACTACAGGTTATAAAAATTCACAGTAAGTGTGTGTTTCTGTAGATGCTCCAAACATGGAGGAAAAAAAGGGGAAATGTATGAGACTATAGTGGTCCCCAAAGCTTTTATATAAAATGAAGCATAGGTGGTGAATGTTGAGGGGAGGAAGATGAGGTTGGAGGCAGTGAAGATGTATTTTTGGGGATTGTGTGGTGTATATATTTTTATGGAGATTCAATTTTTGGGGATTAGGAGGGGTGGAGTGAGGAGGGTTGTTGAAGGGGGTTTTGGGGGCATTTAGATTATATTAAATCAAAAAGAAGCAAAAAAACCTACTGGGGTCTACAGTGCTGTAGGGCAAAAAATTGAGGGATAAAAGGAAAAGCAAGGATGGGAGGACAACAAGGAAATTTAGGAAGGGCTTGAGGAGTGCAAAAGGAAGGTTATTAAATTTTGTGTAATAAATCGTTGCTGTCAAAAAGTTGAAGAGGGAGGTTGTGTAAAAGGGGGGGCCATCAGCAAGGAGGGAAGATAAAGTAAGGGCATGAGAGCAGGACAACGTCGGAGGGGAAAATTCTACATGCTCATTGTGAAAGGACTGTCCAATAGAAAATGGGAAACAAAAATGGAACAAAAAAATTTCCCCAAAGTGGGGAAAAGGGATCTCTTCATAAGGTACCCTTGAGTATGAAAAAGTGTGTCCGATGTGAAGACGAGAGTGTGTTGTCTCCCAACCTCAGTATCAATGACAAGAAGGCCAGAAACCCAAAAATTGGTTTTATGAATGTATGAATTGTTATGAGTCATTCAGACCAAAATGTTTGGATTTTGGGTTTCAAAGGTGAGGAATTACAGCAAATAGTCAGGAATGGAAATACCCCTTTTTAAAAGGGGGGATATGTCTGCGACCTTGCAGCAGAATTGCCTGCTCATTGCCCTGAAATCAACATGACCCGGAACCCAACAGAAAAGATTTCTTGTTTTTTTGTACAGTGGCCCCCTTCCGATGCTATCGGTATCCGATAAATCCCGTACCGAGCATTACTGCAGAAAAATTTGCCCCGCTTCCCGATACAAAACCCGGTATGTGTGTGGTTCGTACGGACGTGTCCCTGTGTGGCCTGAACTGCCCCTGTGTGCCCGTGTTTACAAGCCAGCCCGTGTGCGTGCATCTAAGGTAATTCGGTCATTCCATTTATCCCCTATTATCCTGTTTTGGTGCCTGTTTTGCAAAATAAGTCACCATGGGCCCCCAAAAAAGTCCCAGTGCCAAAACCCCTTTAAGACCAAAAAGGGGCTAATGACTGTTGAAATTTTAAGAAAGAGTAATTGCAAAAAACGAAAAATGGAGGTTTTGCGGAGTGGGGCAGGGTTTTATAGTAAAAAACCCCAACCCATTCTATTTAGTGAGCAGAAAATTTGGCAATTAAAGGAAGCTGTTCTTGCAAAAGGTGCATGTGATTTCGAAAAAGCGACCAAATTTAGTGTTAAAAAAATTTGAGAGATGTTATTGGTGTGGGTAAATGAAAAAAAGATGCAGGAGTAGCATCTCTCAAGCAAACATTTGTGAAAAAAGGCTAGGCATTTTCATGCGTTGGGTAAAAAAAATTGCCCGCAATGTGGTGAGGAGGGTTTAAGGCAGAAAAAAGGGTTTGGTTTGAAAGATTTAAGAATCGTAGTGGCTACATAGTGTGATTAGGCTGGGGAGGTGCCCGTTATGTTGTGCGACGAGGGCCAGTGAATTCAAGCTGGTCCTAGGGCATTTTAAAAAAAGAAGGGGGAAGTAACCCCCCGGAAAAGGGCTTGCTACCCCAAGTCCTAATGGAGGGGGTTCCCCCTTTTAATGCTAACACCTCCCACTCTCCCCCTCCCATCCATCAATCATCACCAGTTTTTTCATTAAAAAGGGAAGTGTCAATTATCTTTTGATTTTTGTTATTTATTGTTTTTGTTTTTATTGTAATTTTCTTTCTTTTGCATTAAACTTTTATTTCATGTGGTAAAAGTTTTTTTTTTTTCTTTTGGGTGTCTTGCACGGATAATTTTTATTTCCATTTTCTTATGGGGGGAAAATTGATTGCTTTCCCATATTTTTGGTTTTCGATGAGCTCTAAAAGGATTAGTATGCGAAACCGGGGGGGTACTGTAGTGCGGTTCAACCAAGTTTTTTTGAAGAACTAGGGGATGAGGGGAATAAATTTTTTAAAAGCTTGTAAAGCACTAAAGGAGTTGGAAATTTCAAAAAAAGTTGGGGTGAGCAAAACAGGAGGGGTTGGGGGTAGGGGGCACCCCAGGAAAAGGTTTGAAGGGGGAGGGTTTTTAAAAAGGTTTTTTATGTGAAGGGCTTGGAAACCGCAGGATGTGTGAACGTGTTAATAGGAGTGGTGGAGGCAAGTGGGTTTTTTTAAAATTGACGAGCTGTTGGGTGTCAGCAAAAGTAACATTTTTTGAAAGGATTCGGGGGAAAAATGTTTTTTGTAGATCAAGTTCTGGGGGGTGGGAAATACAATGGCTGCACTCTAAATAAGGGGTGGGGACATCTGCAGTTTGGAGGGGCATTTGAACTGTAGTATCAGTGTGCCTCTGGTAAAATGAGAGGTATGTTAAAAATGAAATTAGTTATAGTACAATAATTACCTGTGATGATGGTGAACCATGGCAATGTAACATAAGTGAGGTATGCATTAAGAGGAACAGACTGGGCTCGACGTGACTCCTTCCAGAAGTGGAATGTCTGTGTAAAACCTTTTGTTGTCCATAATGGATTATATGCACCATCATCAAGTTCTGAAATTTTTTGAAAAATATATTAATATTAATGAGTTTAGTATTATGCCTAGGATAAAAGTATGCATAAATAAAATGTACCAGTACATTCCATTTTGCTATAGTTGTAATTTATATTTACTGTAATTTCATAAGCTATATATTCTTTACCACTTTTTATTCAGGAATGCAGTACATTATACTGTAAAAAATACACGATTCAACAAGGTGCAGAAAAAGAAAAACCACCTGGCTGATGCCAATGCATGTATCAGTAAAATTTTAGTAACTATCTCATATTTCTCAATTCACTAATAACATACTAGATGACTATAATCTTCGTAAAGATGAAATAAACATGAATTTTAATGTTTAACAGTAATTTCACTGCCATGCAACAAGATGCACATGCTTACTGCAAAAAATATACTACAGCAGCCTCTGATCCAACAGTTACACTAATACAACAATAATTGTTTTATCTTAAAGTTTCTGAAACATGTAAAAACAATTTAAGCTTTTATCACTTCCAAATCCACTATGAAAAAATATTCTAGCTGAAACTGATTACTGTACTCTTGGAGAAAACTACCAGCATACAAAGTTGATAATTTGGAAAATACAAGGTAAGAAATACTGCTGTAGGCTTGTACTGCATAAACCATCATGGCTCTTAAACTCAACACTTTTTTTTTTTTAAGTGTAGAGTAAATCTGTTCTTACTTTTATTATACAGTGGTACCTTGACTTACATGTTTAATTCATTTCATGACCGAGTACGTAACTCAATCTGCTTGTATATCAAATCAATCTTCCTCATTGAAATTAAATGAAATGCATTAATCCATTCCAGCCCCCCCAAAAAACGCCCCAATTTTTTTGTTACGAGTTTTTAAACAAGAAAAAATGTATTTATAAATAAGAAATATTGTATAAAAACATAATAAAAGAGAATGTAAAGAAATAAACTGGTTTTATAAAGTTTATTTACCTTTGAGATGAGACGACTTGGGCTAACGGAGGTGGAGGGTGGAAAAGATAGAAGAAAAGGGCTTACAGGGGTAGGTTATTTTCCTGGAGATACTTAACAGCAGGACCAAAGACCAGGTTTACCCACTCCACAAAGAACTGCCTGGTGACCCTCGCCTTTGGGTTTGCCCTCCACATAACCTGCAGTTTTTCTTTTAGAATCTTGTGTGACATAACCCTTAACTGTCCAAATGTAAATCTAAGTTCACTTGCGTAGCGCTCCGAATATTTTGGAAAAAAAAATTAAATGAAGAGTGCATTTTTCTAGGTAAGACTGAGAGCAGGATTGCAGATGAGCAAGGAGGCTTTAGAATGGGTAGGGGATGTGTAGATAAGGTGTTTAAATTGAAGCATATATCTGAACAGTATTTAGATAAACGCAGGGAAGTTTTCATTGCATTAATGGATTTAGAAAAGGCATATGATAGAGTAGATAGGGGAGCAATGTGGCAGATGTTACAAGTGTATGGAAAAGGTAGTAAGTTACTAATTGCTGTAAAGAGTTTTTATGAGGATAGTGAGGTTCAGGTTAGGGTGTGTAGGAAAGAAAGAGTATTTCCCAGTAAAAGTAGGTCTTAACCCTTTGACTGTTTCGGTCGTATATACATATACGTCTTACGAGCCACCATTTTTGACGTATACACCTACCATCCGACTTACGACCTGCTCGACATACGTCCACTCGACTTACGACCGTGCATCTGGCAGCTGGGCTGGGCCGGCTGATGCACACCACTGTACAATATTCGACAATACTCGCGGCGGCAATGCGTCATGCAGGCAGCATCAGTTTGAGTAACCCTGTCCTATCAGCAGCTTCATACTGTATTAACTGTACTAACTGGACAGTAAATTTCACCATGGCCCCCTAAGATGAAGTCTGAATCTTGCACTGAAGATTGTGGCAAGGAAGGCTCTTACTCTCGAACTCTATTCGTTTTCACTGTTGCACATAAACCTGTCTGTATTTGTCTGCCTATATATCTGTGTATCTCTGTGTGTCTGTTTATCTGTCTGTCTACCTGTGTATGTCTACCTGTGTGTCTGTCTTTCTGTCTACCTGTGTATGTCTACCTGTGTGTCTTTATGTCTACCTGTGTTTCTGTCTACTTGTGTCTTTATGTCTAACTGTGTGTGTCTTTGTCTACCTGTGTGTATGTCTGTCTACCTGTGTGTGTGTCTGTCTACCTGAGTGTCTGTCTGTCTACCTGTGTCTGTCTGTCTGTCTTTCTGTCTGCTTGTCTGTCTCAGAGCCACTCATTAAGAGTGTAATTGGTCTTGAAGATGCCATATTAATAATAACACAATAATAATCACTGAGGCGCATTAAATGTGTATAAAACGTTGATATAGACATTTTGCTTAATCCATCTATGATTTCTTTTTCAAAATTATATAAGAAACATGCTACATAACATATAAACATATAAATTAACAAATATGAGATGTTTTTCTGGTCGGCTTGACAGAATGAACAGGAATCATTTGTGTCCGGGCTGGTAACAACAACAACAGAATTTGTTTACATAACTTGCCAACCTTCTACACTCTCATTCGTTTATTCATTTAATCTTGTTTACTCGCCTCTCACTCTACATTAAGACTACAGATATTTTAAGGTAAGTAATGAGTGGACACATTATATTATAGTTTAATAATAATATTATTATTAATATTAGTATATATGTATTATTGTAATAATAATAATAATAATAATAATAATAATAATAATAAATTAACATTATTAATTTAGGGCACTGGAACACAGAGCCACTGTATAGCACTTTGTCTGGATTTTTTGGGTTATCCTAGGTAATTTATACTATGTATGATAACTTCACTTAGGTGTACCTGTGTGTGTGTGGGTGTGTGTGTGTGTGTGTGTGTGTGTGTGTGGTGAGAAGAGGGGAGAGAGGTGGGGGAGAGAGAGAGAGGAGAGAGATACAGAGAGAGAGAGATGAGAGAGAGAGGAGAGAGACAGAGAGAGAGAGAGATACAGAGAGAGAGAAGAGAGAGAGAGAGAGAGATACAGAGAGAGAGAGAGAGTACAGAGAGAGAGGAGAGTATACAAAGAGAGAGAGAGAGAGAGAGATACAGAGAGAGAGAGAGAGATACAGAGAGAGAGAGATACAGAGAAGAGAGAGGGGAGATACAGAGAGAGAGAGAGAGATACAGAGAGAGAGAGAGAGATACAGAGAGAGAGAGAGAGATACAGAGAGAGAGAGAGAGATACAGAGAGAGAGAGAGAGATACAGAGAGAGAGAGAGAGAGAGATTCAGAGGAGAGAGAGAGAGAGAGAGATACAGAGAGAGGAGAGAGATGACAGGGGAGAGAGAGAGAGAGAGATACAGAGAGAGAGAGAGAGAGAGAGATACAGAGAGGGGAGAGAGAGATAAGAGATAGAGAGAGGGGGAGAGAGAGAGAGAAGATACAGAGAGAGAGAGAGAGAGAGAGATACAGAGAGAGAGAGAGAGAGAGAGATACAGAGGAGAGAGAGAGAGATACAGAGAGAGAGAGAGAGATACAGAGAGAGAGAGAGAGAGATACAGAGAGAGAGAGATATATACAGAGAGAGAGAGAGAGACATTCACAGACACACCAGGAGAAACAAACGGCCACCCACCAACCCACCGGAGCCACCCACCACCCATCAGCCACCCACCCACCCACTCAGCCACCCGGCCAGCCAGCCAGCTACGTATTACACATGTTCCAGAGTTGTTTCTCTTTACTTAGGGTATAGGTTATACTACATTCTGGCAGAATGACACTACCAATGGTATTCTCCCATTCACTGTGTCGACAATACATAAAGATAACAGTAACATATGATAGTAACATATGATACTGTATGCGATGTAAAATTTACAATACATATCACTACCATGTATACATTATATACAGTACATAAATAATTAAAATATAACAATAGAAGTAAATTATGGTAAAAAGAATGAAATAATGATTGTACATTACATTACAGTACTATGTAGGTAGTTTATATAGGAAAAGTTCGACATTAGGACCTACCCAGTATGTCGGCAATTTTCAAAGATTCGATTACGTCCATTTTGACTTACGACCGGTTGGTCGGAACCAAGCTTGGTCATAAGTCGGATGGTAGGTGTATCTTTATTTACTACACGTACATGTACAAGGTATACAGGCCTAGCTGACATCAGTGACATACTACTGTATAGAAAGCCGCTTGTTATGCAGGGTATTTCAAGAAAATTAGGTCAGTGTCCCAGGATAACACCCACACTAGTCGGCTAACACCCAGGTACCCATTTACTGATGGGTAAACATAGACAACAGTTGTAAAGAAACACGCCTAATGTTTCTACCCTGGCTGGGAATCGAATATTTACCAAAAATCATATATGGCTAACCCAAGCCAGGTACTAAAAATAAGCCACGTTGACTTTTTTTGGGTTATCCTAGGTTCTCTACACACATGCTGCTGTGTGTGATAATCTATATAGAGAAAGTAACTTTTATTTCAGGTTTATGGTGCAGTACGAATGTATATCACAGTTAGCCCTGTGCTACACTCCATTTTCTCTAATATAAGCCCCCAAGACAAGGATAGGAGAATGGTATTTGTATACCATATCCTCTTCCTCCTTTGCTGATGACACTGTGCTCTTGGGAGATTCTGAAGAGAAGTTGCAGAGATTGGTAGATGAATTTGGTAGGGTGTGCAAAAGAAGAAAATTAAAGGTGAATACAGGAAAGAGTAAGGTTATGAGGATAACAAAAAGATTAGGTGATGAAAGATTGAATATCAGATTGGAGGGAGAGTGTATGGAGGAGGTGAATGTATTCAGATATTTGGGAGTGGACGTGTCAGCGGATGGGTCTATGAAAGATGAGGTGAATCATAGAATTGATGAGGGAAAAAGAGTGAGTGGTGCACTTAGGAGTCTGTGGAGACAAAGAACTTTGTCCTTGGAGGCAAAGAGGGGAATGTATGAGAGTATAGTTTTACC